CAGGGTTTCTGAGGCTGTAAATCTTTACGGGAGCAGAAAGCCTCATCTTTCTCCCGCGGAGCAGCTGGTAGTTTCGAACTGCTGACCTTGCGGTTTTCAGGCTGATTTGTAACCACTACGCTTACCAGAGCTTCCACATAGAAGTTTCTAAATAAAAGTTTGTTGTTGAACAACCAACTGGGCCAAATGAGGAACTAACTATTCTATAACCTGGTGTGGGGTAAAAATATTTCTGTATTTACGATTGCCTTTTTGTATCATGAAATATAAACCACATTCTTTGTCTTCCTTGCTAATTGTACAATTTTGTTTGCTGGTATTAATTCATATTTCTTGCTCCCTGTATTAACTACTCTATCATGAAAACATTCTCTTTGTTTGCCTTTTTTAATTATAGTCTTCCATTTTAATTTTTCCCTTACATCTTCCTCATACATTCTGTGCTTTAAAAATGCTTTATTCAGATGTGGAGGACATACATTTTTAAATTAAGTTTCTTTCATGGTAACAGGGTGGACAGCTCTCAAGTAATTACCCGAGAGGTCCCCACCACTGGAAAATAAGTCAGAATATCTAATAACTAAAACACACAAAATAGGAAAACCGTTACTTTCCCTGTAATTTTTACTTTAAAGATAAGTGTTTTATTTGCTTAATTGGTTCTGCATGAGATCCTTTAGTTCTCTCTCCTTGGCATGTTGTCACTTTAAGATTTTCGTCTTGGGTGTAAAGAAAAAGAGGAACAATTAACTATGAAAGGTGAAAAATTATAACCACAAGAGACAGCTGGAGTTTATCTGATGTGACTCTGATGTGACAATTTTCTTTTGCTGCTCCAGATTTGCTGCACCTCTATAGGGAATGCAGTGAATTAATGGCCATGACAAGAATATTCAGTTTTCTAAGAATCTTTATCCTTGGAATTCATTGATTTCATTATTGTACGGGTGAATAATGCATATAATTTAAATTCTGGATTAGATATAAAATAATTCATAATGCTTTTTTTGGTGTCCATTTGGTTATCCAAAAATGTGCTATTCATAATGTTGCTTCTCAGGACTTGATTAATTGAATTTTTTCACTTCACTATTCATTAACTTGATATCCAAATATTTTGAACATTCTTCATATGAATATGACCTTATTGGGTTTCCAAATTAACTTTCATTATAATAATCTTGTTCTCTTCATTTAAAATTTATTTCTAATTTATTGTTTTCTATCAAGTTCTTTTCTTGTCCATTTTTGTCATTGTGGATGCTGATGTCCATTTATAAATGAACTTTTATTAGGCTTCAGGTTTGTCATTCGGAGCTTCATTTCTTTGGTGCCTTTGTAAATGTAACAGATTGCAATCTTTGATCATTTGCCACTAGTTTTCTATGTTCACTAATTGTGTGAAAAATAAGTGAAGAAAGGCCCAGAGAAGAGATGATAATGGAGTCAAAGTTCTTATTAAAGTGAAATGGGTTAAGTATTAGGTATTCTATTTTCATTCTCATACTGGAGATTTTCTTTTATCAGAATATGAAGAAGATTTTGAAGCAGATGAGGAAAAACAAGATGAGAAAGCTAATGACAAAAGACAGGCTGATGATCAAATGAATGGAATGTCAAAGTCACCCTCAGATGATGAAAAAGACAAATTAGACCCTGAAAAGGAGGGTGAAACTTCATCACAGAAGGCACCAGATGCTTATGACAATGTGAAAGATGAAAGTGATGGGTACTCTGAGAGTGAACTGGAAGAAGATAAACAAGGCAAGTTGTTGAGCTTCTCTCATATGATGTAGTCTGTGTAGTGAGTGTACTTACTACTTTTTGTTTTATTTAATGAGATAATTCATTTTTTTCAAGGGAATGTTTATGGGAGAGTCCCCTAAACAGAAAATGCTGAACCATCAACCTTCCATAGATATCCAAGTACTGGAATCATGTGTTACTGCCTTTCTCTCATTTCCTGGGGTTTTTCAGCTGGGTGCCAATAGATACTTCTGTTTAGTTAAAATGATACCTGTTTTTTTTTTTTTGTGTGTGTGTGTTGCTGTTTTTTTTTAATCCAAAAATGTTCCATTACACATATGTATCATCTTGTACCTTTGGAAAAATGTAAATTCTCATAAATTAAAAGCTGGAAATCTCTGCATTAAGTTATTTTTTTAAAAAGTGACCTTGAACACAGCAAACTGCTATGTTAATTTCATGGAAGACTCATTTCTCTTGACAAAGATGGCTTCCTTACAATTTCCAAGTCTAAAATGACGCTCTATATCCACAGGAACAATGCAGAGCTTTATAAGAAGAAAGAAACTCTCATCATCTGAAACATACCATGAATTTTAAAGACCTTCGCTTACTAAATTTTGTCCAGTGAAAGGAGGAAACCATTTCCTGCTCTGTTCTTTATCACAGAATTTGACCAAGTAGTTCTTAATTAATCAAGCATTTCTCCTGGTGCATTCTGGGCAACTATCAGTAATAAAAATAACTGTTCCCTATATTTAAATATAGTTTGTCTGCAGTTTTCTTCTGATTGGATCATGAGGTCACAATATGATGACTTTTGAGTTGCTCATTTCTCTCATTTCTTTGCCTCTCAATTATTTTCTGTATGAAATCTAAAAACTGTTTGATGAAGAAATATATTATGAAAAAAATATTAAATAAGAGTACATTAAGTAATTGAGTAATCACAACAGAAAATATTTCATTTTTAGTTTACTTTTCCTAATAAACAGTTCAAGTAAACCTATTCTAAAATTGCATATACACAGGCAATAAAATAAAAAGCAAAATGATTAAGTATAGCAGAGGAAATAAGTTTACAAAGAACTAGAGCTGGGTATATGACTATACTTGAACTCAAAATTTAATCCTGAACTTCCTGACAGACAAGGCAAAAAGTGAAGAGAATGATTTTTTTGTTGTTGTTGGTTATAAAGTGCCATTGAGTCGGTTCTGACTCATAACAACCCTTATAGGGTTTTTGAGGGGTGGCTGGTGAGTTTGAACCACCGACCTTGTGGTTCAAACCAACCTTGAAGTCCAGTGCATTAACCCACAGTGCCACATGAGGACTCCAAGAATAATGTTGTTGTTGTTGTTAAGCGCCGTCGAGTCAGTTCTGACCCATAGCGACCCTGCATAGTGTTTCCAAGGAGTGAATGGTGAGCTTTAACCGCCGATCTTGCAGTTCAAACGCCTTTGCAGTCTGACGCATTAACCCACAACGTTAATTACCAGTAAATTTGAAAACCAGATTCTATCATTTTTTATATAGTTGAATGATATACTCAAGATTAATGTCCAGGGAATGAAATATATTTTTAACTTTTAAAACAGGTTTTCTCTATAGTTTGCCTCAATAGCTAAGTTTCATATTCCTTGTTGTTGTTGTTGTTATGTGCTGTGGAGTCGGTTCCAACTCATAGAGACCCTGTACAGGGTTTCCGAGGATGTAAATCTTTACGGGAGCAGAATGCCTCATCTTTCTCCTGCAGAACAGCTGGTAACCACTATGCTACCAGAGCTCCTTTTGTTGTTGTTGTTATGTGATGTGGAGTCGGTTCCGACTCATAGCCACCCTGTACAGGGTTTCCGAGGCTGTTACGGGAACAGAACAGAACGCCTCATCTTTCTCCCGCGGAGCAGCTGGTAGTTTCGAACTGCTGACCCTGAGGTTCGCAGCCCGATTCGTAACCACTACTCTACCAGAGCTCCTTAGAGCTCCTTTTGTTGTTGTTGTTGTTAAGTGCCATCGAGTCGGGTCCGACCCATAGCGACCCTGTACAGGGTTTCCGAGGGTGTAAATCTTTACGGGAGTAGAAAGCCTCATCTTTCTCCCGCGGAGCTGCTGGTAGTTTCGAACCGCTGACCTTAAGGTTCGCAGCCCCATTCGTAACCACTACGCTACCAGAGCTCCTTTTAGACCTGTAATAATTGAATAACTGACAGTGATAGGTACACTTTACCATTGAAAACTGCTTACATGTAACTAGTTGTATTATTAACGTTTATAAAGATGTCATATAATTGATAATACAGTAGGTTGTTAAGTGCTGTCAAGTTGGTTTTGACTTACAGCGACCCTATATAGGATTTCCAAGGAGTGGATGGGGGTTTTAAACTGCCACCTTGCAGTTAGCAGTCCAGTGCTTTTCCTACAGCACCACACTAAACCACACAGTTTTTGTTGTTGTTAAGTTCCGTTAGTTAAGTAGGTTCTGACTATTAGTGACCCTGTATAGGATTTCCAAGGAGCAACTGATGAGTTTAGAAAGTGGCCTTGCAGTTCAAACCGACCTTGCAGTCCAGTGCCTCTGTTTATCAAGACTTAATTAGGAGCAAACATTTTATGTGAATTATCTCATTGACCTCAAACAACCTTAAAAAAGCAAGTGCCTTTAATGTTCATTTTATAAATAATTAAACTTGGAAACTGTGAAGTCCTGGTATGGCACTCGAGGATAAGCAAGCACTTGACTGAAAGATTGGTTTGAATCACAGGATTAGCAGTTCAAACTCACCAGCCACTCCTTGGAAACCCTATACAAGGTCGCTATGACTTGGAATGGACTCAAAGACACTTTAACAACAGCAGTAAGTCACACAGCTGGTAAGTGATAGGGTTAAGATGCAAATGTCACCCAATTTCACAGCCTGTATTTGGGAGAAATACTATAGATTTTTATTTTAGAAAATATCCCATATCTAAAATTAAAGCAACCATCTTCATAAAATGCTTTTGTTTCACGAAGAACATAGTTTAGAGGCAATTATCTTACAATTATCTCCTTATCTTAATCTCTAGCCTGCTTTTTGTTAGGCTTCATTTTTTTATTTTTTTAAGTTTGTTTGTTTTTAAACAGAAGATATAAAAAATGACTTTTCTTAGTTATATCCAAATTTAGATTTCTCTCTCTGTATAATTTCTCCCTAAGCAATTCCTTGATTGTTAACACCAAGAATACTGTTTTTGTTAGCAGCGTGTTAACAAATTATATTTATGCTATATAATTATTATTAGACTTAAATAGAAAAAAATAGAGAGAGATAGCTACATGTGTATAGAGAATATACAGTATTTTAAACAGATATGTAATGAAAACTATCAAATCAGATAAAGTTGAATACACAAACATTGGGAAATTTAAGGGCTACAAGTTAAATTGGCCAACTGTTAAATTTTACTGTTTTAATAACTATGTTATTAGGGTATCCTTTTAAAGGCTCTTCCATCCTTGGTTCTTAGATTAAAATACTGCCTTTATTCTAAAACAAAATTGCATTGCTTATTACTACACCTTCTAGCTCTCTTATTTTTCATTCCTTTATTTTGATAACCTGTTCGTGTGTTATTCAACAGCATCCTTTTAGCATGTGGAGCCTCAGTATTAGAGATTTCATCCATCAAACAAGTAGCATGCATTTTAAAAGATAACAACATGATAGATTCCTTGGAATGTTCCATTAAAAACTCAGACAGCATTTCATCTTCAAAAGTGTAAGAGGCATATTGTGACCACTGAATCCCAGACACCAGTACATCCTTTTTATTGACATGATTAAGAATCTCACTGTTAGTATTTGGATGTGTTTCATTTGAACTTGCTTGCACCTGTTCCCAGAGGGCAAACAATTGCCCAGGCTGTCACTCTTGTGACAAGTCTGCCCCATTTAAACTGCCAGCTAACAATTGCGTTGCCCCACCTTGATGAATGCACTTTGCTAAGCAGCCGTGAGTGGTAGAGTGCTGTGGACGTTAAGCTGCCTAGACTAGGATCCTGGTTTAAGAATGATGTGTGAGTCTCCCTATCATTTATAAAGAGTGACAGCTTCCTTTTCTCTGCATTTGTGTTGACAACCCAAAGCACTAATTCGCCAGATGAAAATATATTGTCATAGGTGAATGCTGTAAGGCTGAGAGGAAAAGCTTTGTGTTGATGAAAATATACTCTTACAGTTTTATGGACAATTTGGATGACAGTGTCTATGAGTAAGAAGTAAAGACTAAGCAGGCCTTTATAAGAAGATAGAACTAGAGACAGAGAGGATAGCTGTCTCAAGAAAGCAGGACTTAAAAGCATCTTTTTTTTCTGGTTAGGAGGATAATGATTCCAATTGTGTTATTTTTCAGTCTGATGGCAGTATAGACTTTTAAAATTTCAAAGTCACAAAGATAATACTCAGTTTGCTTGAATTACTCACTTTAAGAATCTTACTCTTTATTTCTTGTCCTAACTGTGTGTTGTGAAGAAACGCATATGAGTGGAGGCTTCTTCTGATTTGAAACTAAATGTTATGAAGCCATACCTGGCTGCCCTCACTGTAGCTTGTCTGTTCCTGGATCAAAGAGCCAATGCCTATAGTTTCAAAAAGACAGGATTATAGGAAGATTGTTAGCAACATTCCAGTCTAGTCAGAATGTGTGATTAAAAAAAAATATATATATATTTATGGTTGGTCAAAGTTCAATCTTTCCTGATTGTAAGAATTCCTCAAACTATAGTATACTTATTATAGTCTACTTATAGATTTTTTTAGGTAGGAATTCAAGGCTTTCAAGTAAACATAACACCATCCCTTAATCCACAGAAAATATCTTTATGTAAGATATTTTCTATACTTTTTAATCTGCATTGTATATAACAAATGCACTAACTAGACAGTCAATAAAATTTTGTGGAATGAATAGACACCATCACAGTGAGATAATGTGATTTGATTATATTCTCAATACTTTATTCATTTTAATATGTAGG